CTTGGTCTTTTGGCCACACAAGAGAGAGAGTTAGATAGTTAGTTGTTTCTGTTAGTAGTGTCGCGCGTGCACCTCGATCCTGTACCGTGTTTGTTATGACCCCCCCCCCCCCCCCCCTTTAAAAGGCGATAGGGGACCCTTACCGATTTAAGGGGGTAGCAAACCCTTGGCGCACGCATATCTTGGATGGCCGGCATGGGGCCTGAGGCGTCCCCCATGCTTGCCATGTGTGAGTAGATGGTAAAATGCACTAATAGGCACGTCGCGCAAGGGCGGGATCGCAAGTTATGCCCCCATCAAGCGCCAGTTCAAAGTCGTCCAGAGCCGTGGCACACACGCCGTGGCAGGCCGTGTAGCCACTGAGATGGCCTTATGACGACCCCATTTCGACATCGTCCCCAAGGCCTCTACTCATGAGCTCCACGCGGGAATGACTGGCTCAACCAACTGATCACAAATTCCCACGATATCTCACAAAGCGCCAAAATTCTCCCTCGTGACAGCATAATTCGACGACTCTGATGTTGCAGAGAGAATTTGTGATCAGTTGGTTGAGCCAATCATTCCCGCATGGAGCTCATGAGTAGAGGTCTTGGGAACGATGTCGAAATGGGGTCGTCATAAGGCCATCTGAGCGGCCGCGCCGTGCGCCGAGCAGCAAATTCGAAAGGGGGGCGAGCGCCGCTCATAGAACTGCTCGTGCCGGTCAAGAGAGACGCGCCGGTCACAGCACATCTAGCGCGTCCATTGATGCTGTCTGTCGGTCCCGGGTAGCCTCGGGCGCCAAGGGCGAGCTCAGGCGCGACAGAGAGCGCGGAACGTCGACTGGCGCAAAACTTTCGCGGCAAGAGATTGCTACCACCTTAATAACGCACGGGCCCTCAGCGGAGCTGGGAAGAGGACCGCCGCAAGCGGCGTGGCGTGGGTCGGTTGTGCATCCCTCCGGGGGGCCCTCTGCGCCGGGGAGGCGTTGTTGGAGGCTAGGACGCAAGCGTCCGTCGCCCTTTTCAAACTCGGGGCCCACTCCGCTACGCTCCGACCCGAATTTGGAGGGCCTGAAAAGTTTAAGGTGTTGCTGCGCAAAAGGGGGAACCGCGGCAGAAGAGAAGAATGCGATGGCGCCCGCCCACTCCTCCCTCGGGAGCCGGGCCGAGAGCGCATAGTCCATGTTGACGATTGGCAGCTCCGACGGGTCGGGGAGGAGGACTGCGGCGGGCGTCGCGCCGCTCGGCGAGTCGCCCGCCGACTCCGTCTCCTCCTGCAGGAAGCGGACCAGGTGCGCCGGGTGGAGCGAGGCCGACAGGATCTGAGTGTTGGTCGGGTCGTGCAGGCAGCCGCACAGCAATGTCGGCAGCAGCACGCGGCGCAGCGCCGGCACGCACCAGTAGCGGAAGGGCAGCGAGACGAGCCGCTGCAGCATGGTGGGCCGCTCGCCGCACCTCCACCGCAGCAGCTCCGCGTTGGCGCGCGAGCCGTGCACGAAGATGCCAAGCACGAGCAGCAGCTCGTGCAGCAGCGACCCCACCTCCTCCGCACTGCCGACGCGCTCCTCGCCCATGCCTCCGCCTCCGCCGCCTCCGCCGCCGCTCCCGCCGCCGCCTCCACCGCTCCCGCCTCCGCCTCCTCCTCCGCCTCCTCCGCCGCGAATGTTGGCGTCCTCGGACAGGTCGAGCGCGAGGTGGACGAGGTGGAGTAGCTGCGCCTTGAACTCGCCCCCGCAGAGCAAGCCGCGCAGCAGCGGCGCGTCGACGGAGCCGACGTGGGCGAGCAAGCGGACGGCCGAGCGGCACACCGATAGCACCGCCGCGCAAGGGCGCACCCGGGCCCGCCCCGGCGGCGGCCTCGCGGTGACGGCGGCGGCGGCTCCGAGCGTTGGGCGGGGAGCTCCGCCGCCTGGCTGCGACGCCTCGACGAGCATGGCGCAAGCGAGGGCGGGCAAGCCGCAGACGCACGACGAGCGGAGGAACTCCTTGAACACCGACGCG